AATCATCGGTAGCGAAACGACAAGAGAAACGCTGTTAAAAAGAAGCGTTATCAAGAATTACTGTTAAAAACAGTTGTGGTGGAAATGGAAGCAACAATATTTATTAGATCTTAGAACTGTCCATTTCTTGAAGAATCCGCAACTTCAACCAGAACTAAAAGTAGGAGATGTTGTTTTAGTCGAAGGAGATAATAAAAACAAACTCTTATGGAAACTTGGTAGAATCATAAAAATTATTCCTGGACGTGATGGTAAAGTCCGATCATTCGAATTAAAAACTGGTAATGGGACTTTAAAACGTACTGTTCAACATCTATATCCTCTTGAACTTTAGATATTTTGAACTTTAACGATTTAATTATGCTTTTTTCCTTTTTTGTCTATTAATGATTAAATTGAATATCGTTAGTTAAGTTTGTTCAGTTAAGTGGAAAATATTTTAAAATTTAGTTCATTTATTAGTTATAACATTTATTATTTGATACATGAAGTGTATAACCTGTATTGGAATTGAAGTGTTTGATTAATTAATATTTTTTAATATTTTTATAGAATAGTGATTTATGTACTTGATTGTATGTATAACTGAGTTAGATGAACTCTTGTCAGAGTTCAGGTGGGGAGTGTGTTAAGGAATATTCTTTGATATCGCCAAGAGATGGCATTAGGAGTCCATCTATTGGCTTACTTAACCTTTTCCCTTCTGAACACGTGACTTGAAAAAATATTCTTCTTCTTGAAGGTAGAATTTCGATGCACTACGCAATAGAATTCGATTGAGATTTTAGCTGGAACTATTCAGTTCTTGCCTTTTGAGCATTAAATATTCGATTCAGGCATTTTAGCCTACATTGTATATATGTAAATATTAAGTTTAATTAAAATTTATGGAAAACCCTCCAGGCCATGCATCTCGTCTTTTGGATTATGAGTGATTCGACTTTGATCTAGAACTTTCGTTACAGTCTATTTCTAGACAAGGATTCTCTTCTGAGAGCAGGAAACAGACTTGCAAATAGTAATCTTACTTACAGTGAAAAAGTTCCTTATGTAATACCGAAAGATCATGTATTTACTAGATTAATTTTTTAATATTACCATGTTAAATACTTGCATCTTGGTACGCAAGATTTATTGCATCAGGTTCGCAGTAAATTTTGTATTATTCATGGTTGAGATATGGTTCGAAAGGTTGTTTATGAATAGTTTAATATATTTTAATTTTAAACCAATTATATGTGAACAACTTGTGAGAAACTTACCTTGTAAAAGTGTTAACCCAAGTATGTACTTCATGCCTGTGGACTTCAAATTTCTGAACCACTCCTCATCAAGTATAGAAACCAAAAAATATTTATGTAAAAGTGCACTTCGCTATATTCATATGTTATTAAACTACTAAATATAGTAACTGTTTAACAACAGATTTATTACTATCTACTATTAAAAGGTTTATTGCTAGACGTGGAAAATATAATACCACAATGTCAGATAACGGTACTAATATGGCTGGTGCAAAATCAGAACTGGAAAAATTGCATAACTTAGTTCTTAAAGTCCTTAAATCAAATCTAATTCTGCTGCATCAAATTTCTTAACATTTGAGGATATAAAATGGAAACTGATTCTACTTGAGGCACCAAATTTTGATGGTTTACGCCAGACAGGTACAAAGTCATTTAAATAATACCTGCAGCGTTCAGTCAGCAGTTATAAATTGACTTTAGAAGAATTCTGGACTATTGTTAGTATTTTATTGTTAGTACAGATTGAAAATATTCTATATTCTCGACTAATTTTACCTTTATCAACAGATACGAATGATCTTAAGGCCTTAACGCCGGGTCATTTTTTAACTGGACGTTCCATTACTTCTTTGTCTGAATCTGACTTACCTCATCTGACAGATAATAGACTTTCTAAATGGAAAATCGTTACCAAGTTCTTTCAAATTATTTTGAAATGTTGGCAAATTGATTAATTAAATCATCTTCAGCAACACACCCAACGGTTTATTAATAAAGAAAATTTAAAGGACTGTTAAAGGAAGATAGTCTTTCCCGTTTTGAGTGTTTTATAGATACAACTGTAGAAGTTTTACTAGGTAAAGGTAATAAAAGAGTTGTTAAAGCGAAAACACCAAATGGTGATTATATATTGATTGTAATAGTAAAATTTGTTTTCTGCCTGTTTAAGGATAATAATGCTTAGCTTCATATTATTGTGCCCTTATTGAAAGCTGTGCTTAGTATTGAAATGGAGCTGTTTTTAAAAAGCAAGTAAAATTGTGAGAGGTGAATTAGTTTATGTTCTTTTCAATGTTTATATTATTTTATACAGTATTTCATGATTATCTGTTTATATTATTTTATAGTCATGATGAAAAACACCAAATAGCTTTTATATTAATGTAAAATTAGCTGTTTTTGAAATTGCTCAATTTTTATATTTATAATTCATGTATTGAAATTTGGAATTCGAACGGACGGCGGCATGTTAAGGAGAATACAGCACCAGAAACTCTCATTTTGCCACTGGTTTCGGCTAAGGGCAACATGCCAGAGCATGTACTACTATTTAATTAGTAATTACCGGAAAAAACTCTTAGTTCCCTTTAATTCTTTTTTTTTATACTATCCACTCATTTAGACTAGAATTATAGAAACGTAGTACACCTACTTTTTAATTCTCCCATTCTCACATAATTCATACCGTAGGGAACATTATGCGTTCGCTTCCGTACTTTCTGTTTCTTTTTTCGACGACAGAATTTGCAAGAAGGTCCATATTTTAACTTCTCACTGTTTAGGAAGACTTATTTGGCCTCAAATACTTTCACATCTGGCATAACAATTTCACCAGTTTCTTTGGCAATATTCAGAAAGTCCTTTTTTTTTTTACTAGGAGAAATATTTTATTTCTTAGAATAGGAAACTTAGTCCAAATATCTTACCATAAAAATAAAATAGTTTTCCGACAGCTATCTATATAATTAATTGAACTTCTCTTAGAGGGAACGCATTGTCGAAATTCTAAAGAAAATAACGGAGGGAAAAGACTGAAGAACGAATTATACATTGCATCAGGAAATCATCCCTCCTCCGAACATGAAGCCTCACATGCTTAATAATTTATCCTCAATCATTTGAAGAAGCATACATCTTAATGCATAGCAATAAAAGTTAGTAAAAATAATTTTCACTTTTTACTAAATCATTCTTCACATCTGTGAGCAAATATACAAATTACATCATTAAGCCTCTAACGTCTGTGTTTGTTGCCCGTTTTTAGTTTGGCCACCCTGTGCTGTATTTGAATATGCAGATAAAATTATTATGTCACAGTCATTAATCAGATGTTTCAAATTCTGTCTCTTAATCTATTGAACACTTTTAATTATAAACACAAACACGCTGATCATTTCGAAAACGAAAACATATTATTTTCAGATGATAATTTTATGTTGTATTCGGTCAGTTGCGAAATTTTATAAGCTATATTAGAATACTAAATTCTAAATTAAAATGCTTCTGTAAAAATTTGCGACTTTTCTATACACCAAACGTAAATTTACAAGGCCCATGTAGAAGAATATAAACAAATAATGTTGAGATTCAACAAATACTCTAAAAACAAAAAATTTAAAAATAAATAGAAAGTACGTGAATGTTGCGAAAATCTTTTTAAGATGTCTTACTTGAAGACTAAATTTATTCTTCGGATATCGCTATTAAGCAACTACGGCTAGAAATTGATATTAAGTCATTTTATTCAGTAATTTCGAATATTACTCCAAAAATGATTTGGACTTTGATTTTGCATTACCATAAATAGTTCAATTATCTCAATAATGAACCTTAGGAATAAATATAATATATATATATATATATATCGTCAATTAAGGTATTTAAGACTAAGACTTTAAAATCCATATAATAAGGTAATTATAATTAGAAAATAATTCCACGAAATTATCTTTACACTTCATCGTAGAAAAATTCAAGTATATGTATTCTGCAGGAAATACTTTACATAAAACGCAAACAAAAACTACATAAATGAAAATAATGAATCTTAATAATCCTTAAAGAGAATGCATAAATTATTATTCTACAGCTTAAGATTTTATTAGAACTGCTTTTATCTATTGCACTAACGTCATAATGTTTGTAAAAAGTACCAGTCAGACGTGTAGTTAATTATGGTACATAAATATATTATTAAAAATAATGAAGAAATATATATTTATGATTTAAAACCACAGAGTTTGATGCATTACTATGCAATAGTGTTTTAAACGAAGGTTAATTTAGATACTGTAAAATATGACACAGCTCACATAATTGATAATTTTCCAGATAAAAACCCCAAAATTGGGCGTATTTTTTAAAACTGGCAGTTAGAATAATTAATCTTGAGATAAAGTAATGTAACATGTGGCGGCAAATGTAAAGACTGAATAAAAGACATTTTCACCATTTAAAACTATACGATAAACTAGAAAATATGGCAAAATTCACTCATGTTTGATATAACACAAAAATACCTAAATAACTACTACGCATACACTTCATAACACATATCAAACGTTCCCTAATCATTCAGGTTTCAACAGATAACTATGTTGGCCAAAATTAAATATAAAATAAATAAAAAAAACTATGTGAAAAAGAAGTATTTTAAATAGGTAATAACAAATTATTTATTATTTGGAAGAGGCACACCGACTTGCGGAATCTCTACAATTGATGCTAAACATACAGATTTACGATTTATTATATTTGATTTCTGAATACTCATAAAAATATCAAATAAATTCATGCTTAGCATATGTTGTCGAATTTATGTATATAATAAATGATAAATACAATCAAATATGAAACATGAAACGAAACGTAACTGATATTTATACATGCACATTTAAGGTTTTAAATGTTCTATAAAATCGCATAATAGAAAAACAAAAAATACAAAAACAACATCAAAAAACTAGCAGCAACCTTACAACTGGCTCATTGATGTACTAAATACTAGACACTTGCATTATGGGATTTTCCAACTGCACTGTAGTAAACTACATCTATACTGTTCGATCAATACTGCGATACGTTTCTTTAATGGCAAACGATAAGGCTACATTTATTTAAATCATTCAAATATAATAAATTTAAATAAATTTCTTATGTAAGATTACTAGAAGATTTCTTTTATCACTACATTTGACAGTAAGTATTATATTTCAATAGCTGTAAGTATATGGTATTACATATAGAATGTAAAACATTAAATCCGCAATGCGACGCCATCTTGAAAAGCTCGTTAAGCACAGATTTGACAAGTAGCAGAAATAACAAAAAAATTCAATAAGCAAAGAAGAACTTACAGAACTGATATGTCATACACATCTTGAATGAAGCAGTTTAAGATGCCGGAAAAAGGTACGAAATAGCTGGCATTTGACCACGGAAATTATCAATAATTTAAAAAATTTCAGAGCCTATATACTTCGCCAATAGATGGCAGAACCGTGCAAGCGAGATCTGCGTATGCTTTTAGTCTTTTATCTTCACGTTTCCTCAAAAGATAGCAGCACCAGCTCGGATCAGACGACTAATTTCGTTTAGAACATTAAAAAAAGGGGGGAAATAATGGCTTAATAACACTAATTCTAACAAGATATAAATACGTTTTTTAAATCATTACGTTTCTTTATTTAGTTTAATTATTTTTTCAATATTATAAAATGCAATGCTCAGCATTTCTTTTTCTTTTATTTATTTATTTATTTAATTGGCAAACATACAACTTATTTTTAAAATTTTCATACTTATTTTTAAAACTTGTACAATAATATTCACATTTATGTGATGTTAATATTTTAAGAGATGAAAATTCTTTTGCTGAGAGATAATACACAAAATTAATTTTTTATTATAATTGTAAATCAATTTTAAAACTTTGTAAATCAAATTCAAAGTTTTACAAAGATTTTCTAAAATTTTTCAACTAATTAGTTTATGAGATTTTTTACTACAAGACACTTAAAATGAAAAAAAAAATAATAATAATTTTGAATAAAGCGGCAAAAATAATAATAAAAAATCTGAAAGGTTTCAGATTTTAAATTACGTTCAAAGGGGTGTTTTTTTAAAACATTTTTAACATTTTACTTTTATTTATTAAATAATGTTCTTCGCTCCTAAGCCATAAATTAAATTCAACCGCAATAACGCAATATCGCAAATAATTTTAAAAGAGCATATCTTTAGAATTCCCGATGCAGAGTCTCTACGCGCTGGAGACTTCTTTTATTTATTTATTTTATTTTATTTTATTTTTATTATTTTTTTTTCCTCGTACAGTATTGCCATTGCTCGCAAAAATCGTTTAGTTTGTTAATCAAAAATTCGTTGAAGTGTTACAAAATATGAAATCGATAATAAAACAGATATGAAATTTAAATTAGGGCTTCCACATGCCCATATTCTATGGAAGATTATGTTATTCAAATTTTGATAGCTCTAGGTACCGTTGTTTTATCACAGTGCGAGAAACATACATACATTCATGCAGATTATTCATTATTTCATTTCTTTAAATATAATACAGGGCGATAATATGTGGTGGCAACAATTTGGAAAATGAAAGAACGCTTATCGTAATATTCTCGGTTAAAATTTGATAGCCAATTGGAAGCATGTCCGTTTATGTTAAATTGAAAAATATATAAATCAGTCTTATTATAATTTTTAATCAAAAAAAAAAAAAACAACGTATTAATATTAATGATGTTATAAAGGAAACTTTTTAGCTTCTGTTACTTGCACAGCTAAACATATTCATATCAAAACGAATATGAGTTACTTATTACTCTGGAATTTGTAACTTCTATTTTAAACAATTTAACAGAGTAAAAAGTTACGAATTCAACATTGATATCATATCTGCTTCTCCAAACAAAATGACTAAGATAATTAGGTGTACACAGAAGAAAATACCACTAATAGTTAAATAATACTTTAAGTACAGCCGAAAGTTTATGAAGTTTTGCTTCAACTATAATATGATAAAAACTGAATTAAAATACCTTCAAATTTTTTTAAGTAATGTAGTTGTATATCGATTGTCAACTATTCAATCAAAAAAGACAATTTTATGTAACAATTAATAATAGTCCCTTCTAAAAATGGGCCCATAGAAACCAGTAAAACTTTTTATGGGTACCCATAAGTTCTATGAGTTTCTGCTGACTTTTAATGGTTTCTACAGGTCTCTGTGGGTTTTTCTTACTGGTCTCAAGATACCCCCCCCCAAAAAAAACCAGTAAAACGTTTTATTGATACCCATAGAATTATCTTGGTCTCTACTGACTTTTACTGGTTTCTGTTGATCTCTGTGGATTTTTCTTACTGGTATCAACTGACACCCATACAACCAACATTAATATCAGAACTTTCTACCGGTTTGTATTGGTTTATATTGAATTTTACTGGATTCCCTATTGGTAATAATATAATAGAAATAGATGCTAAATAAATCTTCTGTTGGTTTATATGTGTTTATGCTGATTGTCTGACGTCAATAGACTTCTTGTAACCAATATAATACTGGTATCACCAAAATTCATTAGTTTTCTTGTTGTCTACTGATTATTTTAATTATTTATTTATTTACTTTTATTTCATTTATCTGATACTTTTGAAACTAAGGTTATTTCAGTTTTGTAACCAACACAAAGCTTTAAAATTAGAAAATATACAGCGAACCTTCTGGTGTCCGTCTCTTCCCTAAGACGATCAGTATTTCTAAGAATAAAACTATGATCTCATTAAGACCATCAGAGTAACCTGGAAACGCAGGTGGTCGTTTAAGAGATTATTTTTACTAAATATGCTTATTTTTTTACGAAAAATTTATCGGACACAATAACAGTAACCATATACACAACACACAACGAGGTCTCTCTAAAGCGCCCTAACACACATAAAAATACATCTTTGCAAATGGTCGCCTTAGAGAAGTGATGCTCATGTTCTCTGAAATACGTTTCTCTTTTAGAGGTGGTTGTTTTAGGGAGCTTGCCTCTCCGAAACCAATCTCTCTAAGGCTGGTCGCCTTAGAGAGATTGGTTTCTCTAAGCCTTAGAGCCTTAGAGAGATTCCAGAATTTTCTTTGCGAATGATCGTCTTAGAGAGGGAATATTCAGTACCAAAATATGCTTATATTTTCAGAAATACTGGTCTCATTCAGAGGCTTTCATCTTAGGGAGGGGGTTTTGCCATGAGTTGGCTCCCTAAATACATACACATACACACTTATATATGCATATATCAACATTTTTTATATTACAAATAAACACCGGTATCAAACATCATCTATTGCAAAACTATTTTTCACCGTGTTAACGCTAACGTGAGGTAAAAAAAAAATTCCCCTTCCTCCTTTGCTCCCCAGAACAAGTTTCCCAAACAAGCAGTATGGCGCCGTTCTTGTTAATGTTGTTATGGGATGTTTGTTTTATGGTCTTGATGGATAGTAGTATTGCAATAAATAATTTACTATATTACAAATTTTACTATGTTTTACTGCTTATATGTTTATAATGGAAACTGAAATAGCAGCATTGACTGTGAATATGAAAGGAAATACCACTAAAGCCATGCACGTGTAATCGTGTCTAATGCTTAGGCGAATTTGGTAAAACTAGATATTATGGGTCAGTTTGGCGCGTTTTTAAAAATCTCCAATTCACCAAATGGCTTATTTTCGCTCGTTTTAGAAAATCGCGAACTCATTAAATCGCCATATTAGATGGCTTCGATTTTGCATGAATCCTGAAAACATGCAAAGAATTCATATCTAAAACAGAAGTTCGAAGAAAACAACGGAAAAGTATTTGAAACGTAATAACTATGTATTTTATGGGATTTAAAAAAAAAAAAAAAAAAAAAAGACAGTTCTATATCTCCCGTTTTGCTGATTGGCAAAATTCAAATTGCGTTTATCATGGCGAAAGCGCGACTTCGAATGTATATTAGATTTCTATATAGCATTGTTCTAACATAGGTATTTTGACACATAATCGGACCTTTTTCTGAAATAACATAGCAATGTTTTTCCATATTTCGATTCTACGACTCAAATTATGCCTAGATATTAAATTTTGAAAAATTTGGAGCGAAATTTATAGAGAAATTCAAAAATTTATTTTGGCGAAATTTTTTTCAATTTGAGCCAAGAATAATTCATTTGGCGAACTTCTTAATACATGGCAACCAATTTTCCTTTCCCTTCTATTATGCCGGAACGGTAAAAAAGGCACCTCGTTCCTACCTTTTTACATTGTACATGAGCGGAAAAACGTCACATCGTTTCTAATTCCAAATAATTTTAGCAATATGTTTAAACCACATCTGATGTTTTATCGTTTTATCGTTTTATAAATATGCCCAATTTCAAAACGCGCTAATATATAAATTCACGTATATCTTCGGAAATTTTGAATAAAAAATTGTCATTTTTTGCAGGTATGCATAGAGATACGTCTACTTTAAGATGATGGTGAAATTTTATTGATTATAATTCAAAATGTTTTAAGAAAAATATATAAAATTATTTTAAAAAACAAATTTTAAAAATAAATCACAAAAAAATGGGTTATTTTTATTTGGAATAAACCCGAATTTCGGAATGTGAAAGGAAGAATCAAATAATGATTAATGAAAAAGGAAAGATTAATAAATATATACCAAACTCAATTATCATTGAGGAACTAAAATTTTGAGAGTTAATTTTTTTAAAACTACTCGTATGATTTTTACGAAACGTAATAGTTTGGTGTAATTTGAGTTGTACAATTGAAATATGGAAAAAAAATGGTATGTTATTTCAGAAAAAGTGCAATTTTCAAGTCAAATAACTATATTAGAAAAAGTCAAATACCTATATTAGAACAATGCTATATATAAATCTAATACATATCCTTAAGTTGAATTTCTTCAATCAGCCCAGTAGAACGGAAAATACAGAACTGTCCCCCCCCTTTTTTTTTTCACGGTGTACCTCCAAATTTTCGGAATTTCACGAAATTGCGTTTTTCGAGGCTATGAACTTTAAGTGATGTATTGCATCCTTCGCTACATAACTGCCGATCAACCGTCATAAATTGAATGAAATGTAACGCTAGTAAGTGAACCTAGCACCAGAATGTTGGTA